GGAGCTAGAGAATCAACCAGCTCATTTCGATGAACATGAGAGTTTTTTATTTTTAGTTTTACAATAATTCAGAGATAAATGAGTGATATGAAGAAGTTTCGTTGCTAATCGCTTACCGACTGCCCATTCGTGAGAAGGGGAATTGGCTGTTGAGATTCATGTCTCGAGGAAGATGAGAGATCAGCATCTTCTCCTTGCCACTGGCGTCTAGCATTGCTAGTTCCTTGCGCATAATTGAACTCATTCTCCAGATCATCAATGTCATCCTCATCATCATCTCCATCCACTCGAGGACTCCCTAAAGCACATCAGTTTGAGTAAATTCATTTCCAGAATCATATCTAAAAATCAAAACAGTACGAATCTGTTGAGAAAAACAAGCGAACCTTTGTGCCTTTTATATCTAGTCTTGCACTGTGGGCAAGCCTGGTTCCCATCTTTCCGCTCATACTCATAACAAGGTCGACAGACTGGAAAGGCACACTCATTGCAGGCAACAAAGACATCACCAGTGGCTGTAAGTCCAACAGTATCACCACAAATCTGACATATCTGCCCGTTCAGATTCTTTACGGGTTTGGGCTGCATTGCAAATGAAAAAGTTCAAATTCGTTAAAGGGCAATTCAATGAAAGTATCAAGGAATTTGATATGCTTCTGCAGATATTCTATGTTTTTAGCAAATAAAGAGGCTCTGTTTTAAGAGCAATATATTGCTACAAGGAAACTCAAAGAATGCACACAATTACCATGATCAATGTCGTAATCAATTAATCAATTCAGAATTTCATTTCAAGTAATGTTAATTAATCAATTAATCAATTAATCAATTACATTGCTGTAGTTTCGTTAAGTGAATTTGAACTTAACTCAACTGCGATTTTGCGATCACCGAAAATAGAGGTTTTTTTTTTTTTTTTTTTTTAACAAACCGAGAATAGAGGATTAAGTATCAAGATCTTAGATTGATTGTCGAAAAATAAGATAACCATCCAACTACAAAACAATCCTTACAAAACTAATAGTAATTAGATTGGGTTGTCAACAAGTGTCGGCAAATCAAGCTATAATCATCAAAGATTAAACATTTCTAAGATCTGATTAAAATTACATTTACTATTCCCTAACAATTCAAAAAGCAAACATATTTCCATAACAAATCATAGCTTCAAATAATCAAAACTCAAATCTCCAACTTTGACTGCAACATCCCCTCCCCCTAGTCTCAACCAACACTCAAAATCCAATTCCAAAGCCTACCCACTTCCGATTCAGTAAAAAACCCCACAAAAAATCACTGAAAACTCAGTCCCACCAGATCCACACACTCTACAAAAACCCACATCCAAAACAACACAAATCATCAAAAAGACGAAATGGGTAACTCCAAAATCGAAATGGGTAGTTCCAAAAACACAATTTACCGCGCTATCGGAATCGTGGCGAATCCGAACGAGCTCGTTCCTCTTGTAAGAGCCAGCCACCAGTCCTGCATTGGCTTCCATGGCTGCTGCCGCCCTCAATTCTCAAGCTTTCCTGAGATTTCGATTCAGTGGTTTGGGATATCAGAGAGGAGAGAGATCTGTCGGCAAAAGAAGCTGTCAAATTCGTCGCCCGTTCACTACGACATCTCCACTCTCTCTCTACTCATGACAGCTTGCTTACTCTTTGCTTGTCTTTTTATCACCATATTTTTGTATTTTTGTATTTTTATTTATTATTACCGGATGAACCGGTTGCCCCCGTCCCAAACCCAACACCCATCTTGCTTTTCAGTCGTTGTGTCTTGTTTTTACGTGTTTTTATTTTATTTTGTTTTTTTGGATGGAATTATTTGTTTTTTTTTTTTTAAATTTAACGAAAAACTCCCGGTACTGTTTACTTTAATGAAAAATCATATTTTTACACCAAAAAATCAATTCTAGTACTATTCACTTTATCATTTATTTTGTCATTTTTGTTAAAACTTAAAGTTTTCAAGCCCTTTTCATTAGTTTTCTCTATTTTCTATTCCTTAATTTGTTAGGAGATTTTTTGTGGATGGAGTGGGTGATAAAAATGATACTTTTGCACCTAAAAATTTGACAGGTATTTACTCTTGTATTTTCTATTCTTCGAAATTACTAGTTCAAATTGACAATTTGACAATAAAGCATGTCGTATACGGTATTTACCTTTATACTAAGAGCACTTCCACCGTGTGCTCTCCCCCGAGGGACAAGCCTGTGAACAGTGGCAGAGAGCCCGAGCAACCAAGTCCAGCGTGTGCTGGCGATGGAGCCCGAGCCGGCCCGAGGGAGAGGCCTGGCACGAGTTGCCAACCCGAGAGCCTGAAGGCAACGTGACGTGGGTTGACATCAGGGTGATGTCATCCATAATATAAAATTAATAAAAATATAAAATAGTAATAAAAAAAAGTAAAATTAAAAAATTGTAAAACCCGGGCTTCGAACTCAACGGCTTTCGCCGGAGTTCGTCCCCGAGGTTGATGAACACCCACAAACAAATGGCAGAGATCCTCCTCCACCGCAACTGCCGCCGCACCCCATACCACCTTCGCCCCCACGCACTCGCAATCCTCCTCCTTCCACTAGCGCTCCCAGATCGCATGATTTGGGATTTGTTTTATGGGGAAATAGGAGAGAGAGAGTTTGGTTAGGGAGAAGGGAAGATCAGGACCGTTATGGAGGCTGAGGTGGGTGGGGTGGTGAAGATGGAGGAAGAGAGGAGGAGGGTTTGGGTGCGTTGGGGGGTTGTGGGGGGGACACGGGTTGAAAAGAAAATGTTTGGGCTTTTGGAATGGTGCCAACGCACCATGTGAAAGAGTAGAAGAAAAAAAATAATAATAATAAAAAAGGTTTTGGATTGGATCACCATGTGAAAAGAAAAAAATAAAAATAATTTTTTAATAGAAAATAGTACAACGAGATCGATTAAAAATCATATTTGAAATTACAAATAAAATTATTTTGTATTATTTAAAAAAACTAATATTTGATTGCCTATTGTCAGGACTATTGAAGTCAACGATAGAGATGTAAAAGGTGATTAGTGTTCATTAAGGACAGTTACTATTCACCAGGTGGATAGCATAGTGTATTGCCTGAGGAAGGTTTCACACGCTGGAGTTGCTCTAAATCATAATTCTTTTTTTGGGATTATCACTATACATAAAGGTGTATTCAATCTTAATGAATTCCCATATAATTTTTTTAACTATTTTTATTGATGCATTAAAATACACGTTCTTTAAAATAAAACATTATGTATATATGTTATACGCATATATGTACGTATTTTTCACGCTTGAAAGTTTTAACTCTCATGTCTTCGGCATCGCTTGAACATAAGAAATTATATATGTTTCTTGTAGGTTCTCAACATTTCTGTTGGCCTTCAAAATTCAATGTTTTAGTTAGAGGGTCATTACCATCCTCATAACAACTTTGATTACAGTGGTCACGAAAGATAGTGGTTTAAAGCCACGTCCGCATCAAGAGATGTGATTAGTGATAACGCATTTCCCAATTATTTTTACTTATTTATTTAAAGATGATGACATCAAAATTAGATAATAATGCAACGTAAAAGAAAGTATGTACTAGTACTTGGTGTATTTGAAACACGGTATGATACACTAAGTGCAATAATACAGTTAGTTGAACATTAGAAAAGAAAATTTTCAACTAATTGTATTCTGACATGTGATGTACTAGTCCGTGTTCCTAGCACATTAAATTTTTTTCCCAATTGAGTTGCTTTGTTGACTTCAGACAGTTCTGTCCAATTGAGCACGGACACATGTATGTAACCGGTTGGGTGGTCTCTATCAAGGAGGAAACAATAAAAAATTGTTGTGTATTTTTAAGTCTTAATTTTTGTAATTTATTGTTTGCCGGTTGGTACCAGGCTGTAGTGGGAGGTGTCGGTGGCCTAATTCCTCCCCTTTTAACAGTGGCTTGTTCAGCTCCGCCGTCGGAATAGTTTTGCATTTTTACCCCTGGCCGTAGTATAAGTAAATCTTCTTCAAAGAGAACCGAAAGCCCCTACATCCACCGGTTCAAGGAATTAACTTGGCTCCATAAACGATTAAGAATCAAGACAAGTTCATTCACAAAATACTTATCCCTGCAAAAAAATAAAAATCAATAAAGCATGAGTTTGTTTTGTCGTTGAATTGTATAAAAACAAATTGATTGTTACTATCATACCTGTGTTGTTAAAGTTGATTGAACAATTTTAGTTTTAATTAATTTTTTCATAGATGATTTTTATTGAGTGTCTTATAATATGAATAGTTATGATTATAAGCACTAAGTTCTATGAACCAGTCACAAAGTGTTTTGAGGAACTCTTCCTCACCCATGAGTGGTCAAACATTGTTCCGGATCACAACTTAACTAACGAGTAATTTATCAATGTGGGATTTGTATGTACTTCAACATACTCACTTCACCACGTAATGTTCTAGTGGGCCACATGTACAACAAATTCATAATCAATCATTTAAGCCTAGAAGCAAGGCAAGACAAGATGAAGACTCAAGAACAATCAACAGCTCATATATGGTAAGATTTCAAGTGCCACGCTACCGATTTATTACTAACCACACTGATATTACCCCCAAACTTGTCAACTTATTGCGTACAAGACAAATGTTGAAGTTCTATCACAAAAAAACACCAGGCCTTAAGAATGAAAACATTCATTACATATTATATTTTATTTTGTCACTCTTTCAATTAGAGATTCGTGTACTCTTCCTCAAATGTAACTACCAAATGGTTTCTTAAATTTTGACAATACAATTCGTATCTAAGAGATACTAAACTTAGGACGCAACTTGTAACTTAAATGTGTTAAAAGCGTTTAACCATACACCCGAGTTCCCTTTTCAATCTCTTCCTTCAATACCGCTTGTGTAACATATATATTATATTTTAGTCCTTGGATGGAATTTAAATTTAGATTTATCCATGGTATAACATCAGAACTTCAATGTTAAGGGCAATATAGTTGGTTGATGATACATTGATACTAGTAAATTACTGTTAAAACATCATTTCCATCGTTCCATGGAGAAGAATTGCATGTAGACTAAAACACAATTAACTCTTCTTCAACCACAGGTTCAAAGCCCTGACGAGGTTTTAACAAGACCACAGTACACACCATATCCTCTTATAGCCACCACTACTATTTCCATTTGCTGTCTCTGTGCTATTATCACTCCTATGAATCAGCTTTCCTCCTGGACTTGCACTCTTTGCACACAGATCTACTAGTGTTTTCATTTTTGAGTCATACCTACCCTCAGTTGCTGTCGCCACAGTCGGAGCAAAACCGCACCATATCAACGACAGCAGAGTACAAAAAATGGCAAAGCAAATGAAGTACTAGCGAAGATAACTAATAGAAAAACTAATCTAAGATTCAGCATGCCCAAGTCCTTTTGCGTGTGATGTTTCAACGGACGCTTCGACTACGGATGTTGTGTCGCCTCCACTTTTGCACTCGCAACTTCTTATGAACACTCGGATCTTAGTGTCCTACGAGGATCAATCCGCATTTGCACTACCACCCGCTCCTCTCCGGCTTGCTGTTGTGTTCTTCAATATCTGCGACAAAATTAAAATGACAAATGTTACCTACAAGTAAATGCTACATTCCATCAAACTTGGCGTGAATTACATAAAATGGTATATAACAATATTTAGCATATATAACCTCTGTCTAGTAAACAATTAAGACTTTCAGTAAAAGCATAAGCCTAGTGGCAGTTCTGCTAGGATTGCTTTCAACTCAGTCAGGGTTTCTGAACGACCAACACTTTTGGATCATGCTAAGAAGTTGGACACTACTTAATACTTTCCAACTCAAACAATGACAAGGCATAGAATTTGGGACTCATACTGATGTTCCAAGCCGTCTAAACTTTTGCAAAATGGCATGTGTATAGCTTGTGAATTGGATAGCAAAAGAGTACCCTTTGGCTCTAAGCACCGGAACATTTCTGCGCCGTCCCAACATGGTATAATGTGTGAAAAAATGTTTTACTGTAAGTAAAATCACATATTACTATGAATTACCATTATAAACTACATGAAACATGTTAACTGGGATAAATTTGAAGCCACTAGTCAGTGGACCAAAGGGAGTTTGGCACCATTATAATTCTATTCCATAAACTCCCCATGCCTCTGCAACTTTCTTTCTTATCAAGCAAAGTAATGGATTTGGTGGGGTAGACCCCACAGCCCCTACCCCATTCATTACACTTTCCATTTTTTATAACAAGTGATAAGGTGATACCAAGGTGCTCCCCAACAGAACTGTACATTTATCCCATCAAATTTCCTTTCCCACAGTACCCCATATCCAATTGTTTTGTCACATATAAACACATTCCAACTAGTGATTCTATGTTGATTGAAAACATATATTTGTATGCACCTAGCATCACTAACTTTAAGAAATGGAATCTGATTTAAGGAGTTGGATTCCGATTTCAGATTACTAACTATGCGGACGCAACATATCTGACTATAATATGTACAAGTACTTAATATTATCACCATTTGACGGTTAGATATGTTATAACCATCTGTGTTCACTTCCAAAAAAACATATCTGACCGTCAGATGGTGATATTACTAATTGGACTCCTTGTCGTTGTCACCCTTTACGGATTAGTAACGTGCTGTGAAAGACTGAAACCATAATGATAATGGGTAATGATACACATACTTGTCGAAGCATCTGATTCTCATTCTGCAAAGTGGAAAGCCTCTCATCAAGCTCAGAATTCTTCTGCTCCAATTCTTTGACTCTCACTTCCAAATCATTCAAATATGCCTTCTTCCTCTCCCTTGCTAGCTGTGCTGAAACTCTGTTCCTCAACAACCTATTAATTTTGCACCCACATAATAAGACAATTCACCAAAATACCAATGACCCCATCGCACAATAAAAGGGCAGAACGGTAAAATCATCCAGAAAGAGGTGCATCTGAACCCACCTCTTCAGCCGCTTGCTTTCCTTGTCTGCTGGATTTCTTCCTCTCTTTCTTTGACTCTCACCAGCCGCTTGGACCCGGTCTGGACCGCCAACGAGCCGTTTTCCAGGCCGGAAGCCGACGCTCCCGCCGATTCGCCGCCGATCTCCGGCACTCTTCTGATCTCCTCATCACTTTCCATGCCTGAATTTAGGCAAATAAATTTTTATTTTTTTGGATCCAATAAACGAAAACAAAAAATACAAGAAATGTAGAAAGTCAACTGCTTTTCATCTGAATCATGTAACAGGGCAGAGTTTCCCGGGAAACTAGCATTTCCCGGGAAACAAACAACCAGCCAGCTGAGGAAATCGTCGACTCTACATGACCCAGATGGGAAATTTCCAAGTTCTTTGGATTTATAAAGATATACTTGTTGAACTCAAGCTTTCAACTTATTATCTGGAACAATGTAAAAGCAAAGATTTTCCATCCGAAAAAGCATTTTCCCGGGAAAATAACAACTACCCAGCTCAGAAAATCCTGGATATAACAAAACCCAAATGCGAAATCTCGAAATTCTTCGGATTAGCAAATAAGGTAGACAAATTGAAACAAACCAAAGATATACTTTCTGGAAAGAAAGAAAAACCCCTTAAAAAAACTACTAAACGAAATGAAAAATCAAACCTTCTTTAACTTCAAGATGAAATGCGGAGCTGGAAGACCTTTCGCTGCTGGAAGGCAGAGAGCTCGCAGCGAGGGAGCTCGTCGCCTGCTCTTGCATTTTTCTCTGCTAAATCCAATCCAACAGGGATAGAAATAAAATCGAATCTTCTGCGGCTTCTTTCTGCCGAAACAAAATTAAAAGAGCGGGACAATAATGTTTGAGTGAGTAAATAGCAGAGAGAGGTGGATTTGCTGCCGTCAAAGGCTGTGCCGATCTGAGGGTTGTGGGAGTGTGAGCGTGGAGAGTTGTGAGCCATGAGGTGTGGCAATAATCAAAGGTTTGGAGGGAGGGAGCGTGGAGGTTTGGTGACCGTTGGATTGGGCTTTGATCGAACGGACGGCGTGGAGGGTTGCGAGGGAGGTGCGGTGAACTGGGACAGTGTGGGACCACATTGTGTGCTGGATGTAAGTGCATGTGCTTCTTCATTTTGGGGAAGCATCGAGAGCTAGGTTTGCCATGGAATTTGGATACTCCATACCTTAGAGGTAACGTGTGCGTGACTGTCTTTAACTTGATAATCTTTATTGACCGTTAACATGACTATTAAGTAACTGCATAAATTCTGGATATGGACAGCCAACAATTAGTCTAATAGTAAATCATTACTATTACATCACGTAATTGAGCATTTCTCTTACACATCAGTTTCAAATAACTGCATTATATTTATGGGATTGAGCAATCTATATGCTGATTAATATGATCGTTATAACGTACGTGCATATTATCGAGTTGTTGAATACATATGGAAGTGAAGCTGCCCAAAGGAAAGCAAGGGAGATCATTAGACCAATGCTTATAAAGTGAGCTAACTATAACAAGGACGTTGGGTACAGAAGCATGGTCAAATGTTAACCAATTCGAAAAGATAACATATCTTGAAGTTGTTTAGGTGTTCCTTACAAGCCAGTTTTTAGGGATAGGTTATACATGTAGTCTATTAACAAGAAAAAAGGTTATAAAAAACCCATTTAGAAAAATCCTAGATAAATAGAAAATAAACTATATGCGATTCACATTTGAGGTAATACTGTACCGGCTGAATACATATCAATCATGTTCACACATATGAGAAGATTCAAACTTGAAATCTCTTTTAATCATCGATAATAAATATTACTAAACAATGAGTATGCTAAATTAACATATCTGATGATTCGATTTTTACCTGATAAGGGTGGTAAGTCTTTCACTCTTGATCTACCTTCCCTTGGGTGAATGGTAGATTGCCTAGTATGTACAATCACGATGAAGCTCTTTTCAGAGTTGTGGAGGCAAAGAACTCGAAGACGACCCAATACCAGTTAGGTTTGACAACTCCACAGATTTGTGATTTCTGAAACATGAGTTTGCCTTTTGATTTTAGAACATTTAAATGTACCGTCAAAGAAAAGACATTAGATATCTCTAGATATCCCCTTTGAAGATACCAACTTGAGATGTTAGGTGCGAAGTTGCCTTCCAAATTTACAACTATGTAACTTCATTTTTGGTGTCTTAGATGCAACGTACAAGTGTTGGACCACAACTATAAGGAACAAAGTAAAAAAAGGCGCTTATAGTTTTTAGTTATTTTGCTTATTTACTTGTGAAATGTATTAAATTCGATTTTCATGAATGACGAGTTTGATATTAATTATAGAATATAATAGAAAACATCTAACAACGCACTTTCTTTTTTTCTTCTTTTCCTGGCTTCGATGTTTGGATTGAGAATTTTGGTTTCTCAATCCTTAATAATAAAGAAAGTTAACTATAAGTATTTGTTTACTAAAAAAATGCCGTCAAATATCCTATCCGTCATTGTATTAAAAAACAGAAAGGAAAAAAAACATATATAAGTAACTTAATTATGGCAATTTACTACAGTGACGAAAAGCAATCATGCCTATTCACTATGGTGTAGGTTCGATCTTCATCAGTCTCCCTACCTCCTAACAACTAACAACTTAAAACGCTATTGTTTGTCAAATAAAAAAAACTACTTAATCCATGGTTTACACTAACAATAGTACAAATGCTATGCTAGAATACGTCACTGTAAATGACATACATTGCTAAACCTAACGGATTAAATATGCGTTGAAGAATCCAATTAAAATAAACGGATGGATCTATTACGTATATATACTATACACTGACGTATACCAGAACTCTAGGATAGATGCCTATCACTTGTACGTAGACTGACTTTTTAGGTTGGACCCAAAGAAAAAATTTACCAAGCCTTCTAAAAATAATCCTCCATGACATGAAGGAATGGTTTCTTTCAATTTATCCATACAATATAAGTAGAAACGTAGAGATGGGCGTTCAACCCTTTTTTGACTAAAAGCTTTGTCTATTTCTTCTAAATCAGAAGCAAATGGAGATGGGCTTCTCCCACCATTTCCACACTGCAACGTTGGGCATCAAACTAATCTGTCGGCATACCACTTTGTCGGTATCCTCGATTTATATGAAATGCCAAAATAATTACAAGAGGTGATATGTTGGAACATCATTTCTTAAGTTACAAGAATTTCAACGAACATGTTCAATATAATATCCATACTACATAAGAACTCATACAAGCGATATTAGAGAAGGGAAGACTCGGAGATTGCTTATTCTATTATGCGGCAGCTTATATACGCACAAAAGTAATGACTAGGAACGACTGAAAGCCTAAAACCACTCATCATAAAATGCACTACAAACTAGGGCATCTCGATTCATGCATCGGATTTTCGGGTGGTGGTTGATTTTCGGAAAAGAGCACGAAACATTTTCAAGAATTTGCTTTTGAAAGAATTAGGGTTCCTGGTTGGGACAGAACGGCTACGGGGGCATGCAGCGAGTGCTGCATTTGAATGGCTATAGGCCTCGAGTCCACCGGGTTTGGCACTTGGGCAGGGCCTCAGCTCTCTTGAGTCGGCCCTGCCTTCGTCTCTTTGCAACACTAACTTATCGTCCCAGATCAACCCCGACGATCCTTGTCTCCTAAATGTCGATGCAGACCTTGCTAACGTTGCCATGGCCTTCTCTCGGACAGTCGTGAACTTGTGATGGTATTTGGTTTGTGCAGGAATTGTGGTAATACCAATCTAGATGATTAGGCTATTATATATAAGAGAGGAAGAGAGAAGATTCCAAAGGGAGAAGAAACCGAAAGAGGTCAGGGGATGGCATCTAAACGAATAACACGCTTTGAATCGGTCTAATCTTATGCTTGAAGTTGTTGCTTCTATTAAACTAATGTTGTAAACATATTCTGTTTGTCTTTTAGTGTAAGATCAAAGCTCTCTCTAGGCAAACGAAGAAGATAGAGGTCAAATATTTTTCATTACCAACGTTTTCTGATACCAAATATTATTTCGAACTAAGGGAAGACTTCATTCAGCTAATCTTTTTCTTTTGGGTACATTGGATGTGAATGAAACCATAATCCGAGCTAACATACCCTAATCCAAATTTTGTCCCCACCCGTCATCATCAAGCTAGCCCGAGGCCAACACAGATGTCACAAAAACAAAAATAAGGTGAGACTTAAACCCTATCAGATGTCATTATAACCATTTAAGTACCTGATTTACACATTGGTTCACTAGACAGTATTAGGGGCAGGCCGTTGATAGGGAACCCGAGAATCTGGAACGCCTTCCTCAGAACGTTTGTCTTCAAACCATTTCACAACTCTTTTGCGGGGAAGGTTTGTCACATGCACTATGCTGCTGACCATTGCATTCTGTATCACATATCAAACATACAGAGCATGAGGAAACCGCGAACAAGTTCTTTTAGCTCAAATATCAAATGAAAGTGCATTATATCGTTCAAAATCAATCAGCATAAAACATTCACTTACAGTGGGCCGCTTTGTTTTTCTATAAACGCTTTCAAGGGTTTCAACTTGCGCTTTCTTCAGTCTCTTTTGAGCAAAAAACTTTTGTTGCCTGACATGAACGGGCACCTTCACTGCAGGTTCAAGCTTTACAGAATCTGTAGCCGTTTCCACCACGGTTTCTCGAGTTGCTTCCACAACAGCTTCTACAGACTTTGTTTGGGACACAGATATCACTGTAGCAGGCTCATCAGGTAAAGCAGCACACATCATCAAAAGACTAGGAGGGGGTTCACGAAGCAATTCGAGAACAACAGCCCTGTCAAGACAAAGCTCAGCTGCAAGAGTTTTTATCTGCAACAAAAAGGAAAAGCGAAAATTGAAATTGATTACAGTATCACACTTGCCAGCATAACGAAAAACCCCCAAATAACGGGAAGCAAATTTCCACGAATACTAAACCAGAGTTTACATAACGTGGTTATCTATTTTTGACTACCAAGTAATAGAAAAATATGTTTTTCCTATCTATTTCTCGTTCATCCACACTTCGATTACGAACTTGGGTTTATAATTTTGAGCACTCACGCCTATAATCACCACATTTCCTCGGCCTCCTTAGAACTAGAAAACTTATTTTTGAATCAAAGAATCACTATCTAGCAGGATATGAAGCATCCTTTATCTTCAATGTCGTCTTCAGTACAGTAAATGTTTGAAAATTATCAACAATTACACAACTTTTCACATATTCATCAAACAAAATCTCATATTCAAAGACAAACGGAAACACTTACGCTGGTTTTGCGCCGACCAACTTTCAAAGCCGCCGCCAATCTCCGCAGCTGCCAAGTCTTCAACTTCACCGGACTTTCCTCTTCCTCCTCCTCCTCATCTTCATCATCATCATCTCCTTCTTCTTCTTCTTCTTCTTCGGCATAGCTCTCAACAACAAAGTCGTCGTCGTCATCATCCTCCTCTTCATCATCGTCATCGTCGTCATCAACATCATCGTCACCGTCAATTCCCAGTGCCTCTGCAACTTCCTGTTCGAGCTTCGACAGCTCTTCTTCCGTTAAATCCTCCTCGTCAAACGATGCGTCGTCGTTTTTGAGATCCTCCTCCAGCAGCCTAAACAGCGCATCTATCGCATCCTCATCCACATCCTCCTCCTCCACCTCCGCCTCCTTTACCTCCTTCTTCCCCAAACTTTTCTACATTTAACCACAATTCAAAAGCAGAATTTCAGCTTTTTTCAAAACAGAGAAAGCACTTTACAAAAAAGCTCATTTCTTAGTTCTTACCTTCTTCATCTTCGTTTTGGAGGGCGCGACTTCAGCGCGGTGGTTCCGGCGGCGAGCCAAGGCGAGCGTGGACGAAAACCGAGTCGGAAAGTGACGTGGCAGTACCAGATTGGTGGGTGGCCGTTCTCTGAGGGAAGACGGCAACGGTAGAAAGTGAAGCCCCTTGGGTGTGTTGAGCGCCGAAGCGAAAGCCATTTTGCTGTCAGTGCAAAGAATACGGGATGGGTATGTTTTCGCCGCCAAACGGTACCGTCTTAAAGGTCGTAGAACCGCACCGCTTCCTGCCCGAACGCCGATGAATAAAACCAGCGCCGCCTTTCTGCCTCCGGGTTCAGGATTTATCTACTTCTTTCCCAGTGTCCGTGTAAACTGTCTAAAGCGTATTCAAAACGACCGTACTTTCGCGCGTTTCGTAAGCTTCAGTATGCTATAGGCTTTAGCCCTTAGCTCTAATTACCTTTTACTCCTCTTGGGGAAAATAACGCAATTCTCACACTGCATTTTTACAAAATCGCATCATTTTATGTTTTTCGTCAATAGTCTTTCTATTCTTGGGTTAAATTAGTAAACTAACAGGATATGGAGATCTGGAGATCTGTAAATCGTGTTCATTCATCGTACATCGTACGGTTAGTTTTTGTCAAGTACTGTTTGTATGATTTTTGACCATATGATTCACGAATTTCAAAAATCTTCACAAAGAGGATCCGGATTCATTGATAAATACTAGATTTCTAACTTTTTATGGTCACCACATTATTTATGTCAAATTATGCGATTAGTTGTTATTTCAAGACTCGTTACGAATTAAGAAAGCAGTAAAAATTTATGTTGACTATTTATATAAAAAAACAATCTAACACCTACCCCATTGTACTTAGAACAACTCGATCCCGTGTGGGTAGGCCGGCTCAAAGCCCCCAAAACATACCAACACCCCTCTTTTCTCCTCCAGCCCAGCCTAATAGGCTGGCACTCAGCCCAAGCCAGGCCATAGACCGGCCCAAAATGTGCTGAGCAATCAGTTGCCTTCTGTGACATCACGTTGGCATCAACATGACGTCACAAGCCATCTTCTACAGTAGTTTCTGGTTTCCCGGCGCCACCAGAAGACCCCCTTCGTCGTCTTCTCTGTTGGACTCCGCAACCACAATCCCAACAACACCACCCTTGTTCAAGGCTCATCAAGCTCTTGATGTACATCGACACGCCGTGAAGAATGGAGTTTCCTTTTTCGTCTTCATCACCGCGCTAGATCCGAGCCATATAGTTGATTTCTCACTGTTGAAGAAGTCGATTTCTCATTGCTAAAGAAATCACTGGCTTGTGGTTTTGGTGGTGAAGGGAGAGGGAAGGACAAAGGGGGAAAAGAGGGTGAGGATGAACGGTGGAGAGCTTGGGGACGCAAATGAAGTTCTCTGCTTTTCCATTTTTTTTTCCTTTTTTCTTAAGTTTTAAAATAAAGTCTGAAATTAAAAATAAAATTATTATTATTTTATTATGGCTTTTTCTATTAACACCCCACAAAATGTTGAATGCACCCCACATAAAAATTTAATGTTAAATGACTTATATACCCTATTATGCAATGAAAATTTCGACCTTATTAGGTTTTTTTTTAAAAAAAAAATCTAAACACACCCCAAATCACTTTTAACATATTATTTATCTTCTTCAACTATCAAAACCTCTCACTCTTCATTGTTAAACAAAACTCTAACCAAGCTATCTGCGTTATTTTATTCTCTGATTTTGATTTCAAAGGAGATTAGTACTACATATCTGCTTGTGATTTCCTAGGAAACTATACTACCCAAGCCTATTATTGATTGATTTAAGCTTAATATTTATTTACAATTCCCAGAAAACCCGATTATTTGAAAGCTTCTCTCTTAGGAAATTTTCACCATTTTCAATGGTGAATTACTGCAACATAACTTATTCTATTCAATGCTTAATTACTGCAATATAACTCATTCCGTTCAATTGATGCCTCTCAAGTGAAGGAAAATTTGTGAAAAACATGTTCATTTAAGCAACATCAATAGCATGCAATTAACAATTAAAGGCGGAATCATGCTTGTATGCACTTAAAACAAAACATTTACCCATGAAATTCAAAGCCTAGTAGATAGGTGAACCAAGACTCAACTCAAAACAAAGTGAGTTGAGAAATCAATACCTTTGTAGATTCCTCTTTGCATAAGCAAAGGCTAATCACCCAAAGAGAGGGCCTTCATTCCTTGCATCTTGGATCCATGGATTTGGATGGATGAAAAGGTTTCTCCAAGTTCCCAAAATTGAGAACCTCTAAGTCTCCACACCAAGGTATATTGTAGAAGAAATGAGTGACCTAGAGGAAGTAAGATTGCTAGCTATTCCCTTCTAGATTGGCCGGCCTCTTTGAGAGCAAAGGGAGGTTTTTGTGTTCTCATCTTTACTCCCTAGAAAACCCTAAGGATGAAATGGCTATAAAGATGTCTTTATACCACCTCACAATGGAGTGGCAAACTTGCAATTAAGCCAAGTTCACTACCCTCCTCTAAATGGCCGGCCTAAGGGGATTTTATTGGGCTATTTGGGCCTTTGTGAATCATTATTCATTAAGTTGTCATACAACTTAAGTCAATGGACTTGACGTTCGAAGCCCATTGGGCCTTAAGGTCCAAAACTATCCCGAGGTCTTTTAACGAACTTATTCGTTTGATTAATAATCATATTAATTAATCCTTGCCATAAATAATTAAACCATTTAATTATTCTTACTCATCTCCGTTGAATCTTCAATCTCTACCTTATACGGTGTACGATCCATTAGGTTCCTTTTAGCGAGGCAGTGGGTGATTCAAACTCTTTCAAATCGATTGTGAATTGAAACTTACTTTCAATTCTCCCGTTAGTGATAATACACTTTTAGGGCTTCCACAAACCATGAGTGACACCTAGCAGCATATCATGGTTACCCAAGCTAATCAGAAGAGGTGGAGAACCTATTCAGTTTAGGATTACAAATGCAATACGGTCTTTCTCTAATACAATACTCTTGACCACATTGTTTGGTTTGATAGTTTATTCATGTCTACTATCCAATGTGAATCTTGTACTTACATGATTACCTTGAATGTGATCTGGAACGCATTCCAACATCTCATTCATACTCTGGCCAGAGATTCTAAATCATATCATAGAGTATTCTCCCTCAAACAGTTTGAAGGTTAGAGATCCCTTGTTGCGCATTCACTTGCCTCCATGGCTAAGTGGCTTAACCCCAACGATGCCGTGGACACCTTGATAGAGTGACGTTGACATAATCAAAGATTAAGGACCTAACCACAAGACAACTGTGATGTCTCAGGTCAAAAGACTAATTTGCATTATCCCAACCATGAGTTCTCATGTGACATGAACATGAGAACTCTTCGTTGATCGTGTTCAGTGAACTCATTCTCTATTGAGCACCTACGTACTTGTCTTGATGTCACACACACCAATGACTCGAGACTAGTCACTCTCCCTGAGAGAAGACATAGCACGTACTGATCTTAACGGACTGTCAATGCCCAATTGACAATCCTATGATCAGGAACGTTTAGGATGTGTCAACGAAAGAATGGTCTCATGAATCTAACTTCTTTAGATCGCATTCTTCCAATCACATATTCCTTGGACTTATCGTTTAAGCATATAACATTTATATTAGACGGCTCAAACAATAATCTTTGCCCTTTACATTTAAACTACATTAGTTTGAAATGAACTACATTAGTTTGAAATGTCTGTAAAGTATCATCATATGATTGGTTTTAGGGCACATTTCCAACATCAAGTGACTATTTTCTTCTTTCCACATCAATCACACAGAATGTTAGAGTTTTACTCCAAATTCAATTTAATTTATAAAAATTAAAAATGAGTATTATAAGATTTGAAGAATGTGGGGGTGTGAGGGTAGTTTGAGAAAGTATGTGAGGGTGTCGTAAGATAATTTTTAATTGAAAAAACAAATGTGAGGTGTATTAAGTACGTGAGGTGTTAATATAATAAGTCTTATTATTTTATAATAAAAATCAGTATTTTAATAAAATTGACTAGGTTATTTTTTGTTAGGGGTGGAGATGCATTTGGCCTATTACTGTTCATTGAGATCTATTATTGTTCACTGAATGAATTAAGCAGGCTGGATGTTGGCGCATTTTTTTAGGGGTGGACTTTCTCTTAGTGAAAGATGAGACGATCAAGTTGTCAAAAATACAGGTATGATTACAAATGTTGTATCTCCCTTAGTAATTCAGTTACATACAACATTCAACTATCAATTTTTCAAATCATTTTGTAATAAATGCTGTAAAATAAAAATTTACGAAAACACAAAAATTTGTACTATTTAAAATTTTAACTTAAAAGTGTAACATGAGAAAATAGAAATCCGCCGGTATAGTTTTAAAAATCAACACAGGCTTGAGTTGGTAAAATGTTAGTTTATACTTTAGCCGGCCCCGAAACCGCTTTTTCAAAGACAAACGACGCTGCGTTGGAGCAGAACTCCGTCGTTTTGGTTTTGCCGTCCACAGAAACGCGTACCAATAGTAATTCTACCATACCAAAGTGAGTCTCATAACTCGTTTCTGTCATAGTTTTTGTCTGAACTAAACCGAAAGTATGGCAACGGTTCCATCTCCACCGTCATCCGCATCGTCAAAATCGTCAAAGGGATGGATAAACAGCATCTCAGCAATCGCCTCTCGCGTCTACTTCTTCCTCATCATTCTTCAGATCCCGCTTTTCAGGTACTCCAGTTCTCACTCCATTAATCCCCACACTCTCTGTATCCAAATCTGTGTAATTTTCTTCTAATTTTGATATAATCCCTAGTTGTTCAACTTGCTTGGCTATCTGGGTTTGCTTTATTTTGCTAATTTCCATGTTTTTGCATCCGGGTATTTGGTAGTTTTTCGGTTTATCGAATCTTGGTCGGTAAAAGTTTGAAACCCTCTGTGGGTTTGTCTGGAATTTGGATGCACATTTTGAAGCTATTGGGACCGTATTGTTGATTTGGAGTTAGATTTTACTGAAGGATTAAGTATATTATTTGTTTTAGATTGGTCGATCGAAATTTGTGATACCCGGAGTTTGGCTTTTGGATCTGCAAAAAGGGATTTAGTTTAGCAGTTGAATTGATACACCTCTCACTCAAAACCATTCGGAATCTGGATCAGACAATTTACAGCAGTGGATGAACTGAGATAGGCGTAGTGAGAGTTGACTTGTGCTTAGAGGAAGTGTATATTTACTGAAAGTACTTCTTTAGGGAACTTATTTCTGAGAAGCGGGTAGGATTGCTTTGATTTTCAAGTATCCATATTTATAGGTTCGTGTGGAACCTGTATTGATCTGGAAATGGAGGTTGATTCCCGTGGTAGAAAACTTATTCGGGAATTTTAGGTGTTCCGCAGTGCGTTTATTTGAACTGATATATTGTATTGGTATTGAGCTGTTAAGTTTTAGTATTCATGTAGTACGATATCTATTTTGTTCTTTGAACCTCCATTATTTACTGCAGGATTATAAATCCTTTTTGGCTTTCTTGTTTATTACATACTTCATACACATGCTCATAACTTGTTTTGACTCCGTACTGAATTTATCACCTCCACGCATCTATTCTCTCATTGCATCTGCATGCGTGGTGACTGTTAAGTACCTTTTCGTATCATAATTGAGCACCGTTTTCATCTTAGTTCAAAAGACACTTTGTTCCTCTGGATAGTCTTGATCAGAAGAAGAGCATCAAAATCATTTAAAATCTTTGTTCGTTTAATTTCTGTGCGGATGCATTTAGAAGAAAAAGAAAAATTATAACTCTCTGTGTTCGTCTTGATAATTTTCTGTCTCTTCCTTTTCTATTGTTACAGAGTTCCATGCAGATCTGGCATGTGTACCACACCGTTGCATGTCACATCTTCCCAGCTGATTGCAAGTGAAATCTTTCCTGTTACTGCAGTCAAGGCCCTCCTCTACCCCGGAGCTGTTGCAAATGGACTTGCAAAAAACATGACTGTCCCAAGTTGGAATAACCTATTGGACGTCTATAACTTGACTAGTGCAAAGGAAGCCTCTCCAGTTACTGATCTCCAGCGCTTAGAGGTTCTATTTCTCAACTGACACTTTCCCCTTTCCGTTGTTTAAATGGATATTCAAATTCTATATTGAGGAAGCCTCCAATTTCTTGTTTATTCAGTGTTGCTGTCTTACGAATTATTACTTTTTGGTTCTATTTGTATTCTTTTCCACTCAATTTTCCAACTGTGACTGGGAGTCGTGTCTACTTTAGGAAGGTTAATTTTCTTATCCAGTTGGATTGATAATGATTAATGAGTATGATAGGAAGCTAATTTAGGAAAATCAGACGATCGAGTAATTGTTTTGTACTTTGTTCTATGCTGTCAAGGGATTCTTTTATGCAGATGATTTGCATCGAGGATCCATATTCATCCTAAAGTACCTGGCTGAAATTTCCTCTCCCATGATTTTCCTTGGACGGGCATTAGATATGCCCTGGAGTTCACATAGAGTTCAATATCAGCACTAGCAAACCAATAGGATTTCATGTTTGACAATCTGAAGTAGTAATCTAATATCTGTTTTTCGATAAATTCACCAGGTTCTAGCCGGAAGTTACTTCGCTGTGGCTGGAGCTCTTGTGGGAATTCTAAAACGAGGGAGGATGAGCATGTTCGGGATGCTTCTAGTTCTCTGGGGCCTCATCAAAGAAGGGATTCTCGGAAAGCCCGTGAACACAGACCCTACAAAAGCGGTGTTTGTCTACCCAACCATGCTCATTGCTGTAATCGCTGCTTTCTCGTCTGTAAAGTACAATATGAAGAAGGCTGCCGCAAGAAGTGCACCTGCAGCTAGGCCCATTGCAAAGCCTCTTCAAAGGTCTTCAAAATCTAAGCTGAAATGAGTTCAAGTATGTAATCCATCAAATTTTTGTTCAACCTTTCGGAGTTCGTGAGGAAATTGTATGTTTCAGAACTGCATGTTTTCGTTCCAATATTTTTCGTGTTTCTGAAAAAAAAAGAAAAAATCGTCAGTGTTAAAAATTGCAGTTGTTTCTCCAATCTCTCGTATAAAAATTACAGTTGATTCTCAGATAATGCTTCCTGTTAAAATACATCTACAAAGATTCAATTCCGTACCTATATTTTCGATTGCATGGAATTTGGTCCCGATAATTTGCCCAATGTTCCAATCCGAGCGCATCTGTCAACGTCTTGTTAATTTCTTGTACGAAATCGTCGTGCACATTCTCGTATTGGATATTACTTCTGAGTTATATCAATACTAGGAGAAAAATATGTACAAACCCAGACAACCAAGTCAGAGGTAGACTGTGGAAGGCTAAAAGAAAATACAAAGAAGTAGAAAAAGAAGGATTAGGGGAAGAGGTCTGCAAATAGCGAAGAAGGCAGGTTGCTTTAGAAAATTATAGGGTGTATAGTATCGTTAGCTGAGAGAATCAAACCAGTATTAGGATTGCTTTTTCCATTTAAAATTGCTCGTCTCTTCTTAAAACTCCCCAACCAAACTCATTGTTTCATTAAACAGTCAAAACAAATTCATAACCAGCCTAACGACGTCCTTTACTTCATCTTCTTCCATGAGATTCACACCTCTGCAAATAAAAACTTGGGGTCACTGGTTGGCTTCATCTTCTTCCATGAGATTAATTAATTAATGTGGTCAGAGAATATGATTGTGCTTCGTCGTTTGTTCTTTGAAATATTACATGATATGTATTGTGGTGTATTGTTGAGTATAACGATTTATATGAGGAATGTTCGAGTATAGTGATATGATGAATTATGAATGGCTTGATCCTTGTTTAAGGTACGTAGGCAGTTTAACGATCTTGTATTATACTTTGTACCTATCCTGGAGGCGGGGTCTGTTGGATATACGAATGCTTGGTGATGCCACGTATCAATTCTAGACGGGATCGGGAGCGTGACATATATAGTTGGAATTTTTCATTTTGTCAAGACTGGTAGATGACTACTATTGCATAATTGTAATATGATTGAAAAATGGGACACTTTATTGGTTTGGTTTGGAGTGAGGTGAGAGAGGGGTCCTTAAAGTTTTAGTCAAGTGCCATATCAATTACGGTGTTGAAGCAATTTCAGTGGTGTGGGTCCCAAATCTAGCATATATGATACATCAAGGAGGGAGAAAGGAGTGCATATTTGCTCACCATAATTCTCACCACTCAACTTATTATCATTAAATGAGTTTAAAATTTGAAATTTGTGTCTATCTATTGTACAGATTTTCAAATTTAAATTCATGCAATAATGATAGAGAGAGTAGTGAACATCACCATCACTTAGAACAAGTATAGCAGGGCCTTTAGCCCGATGGACCATGGACAGAACATGACCAAATCGCTAGGGCAATCAAGTATAGCCCATGTGTGCTTTAGCGCCGGAGGGGGCCCAAGCAACAGGCCCAACACGAATCGCTGGCTCGAGAGCCCAAGGCGGAGATGATGCAAGGTTGACGTTAGGGTGACGTCAGCCACGATTTAAAACATGGGTCATCAAACCCCTCGAGGGAGAACACCGGAATATTTGGTAGGGATTCATCCCGATTCCAATCTCGACTTAAAACTCCATTAAAAATTGTAATTTAAGCACAAAAATGATGCTAAAATGAAAAGGAACAAGATTTTACCACTATGAGTAACAACCGTGGTCAAGATTGGTTGGGTTTGGTCACGGAGCTCGCCTAATTTTCTCGCCAGATTCTGGAAAAACAAAACAGAAAGCATGCACAGTGAAAAGAACAAAATTTAACCATTAAGTCTTCACTTGAAATCACAACACCAACAAGAGAATCCCAAAATTCAAAGGAACAAGGAAATCTCACCTGAAACTACAAGCTAGAGCTTGAAGCTCATGGGTCTAGGATCACTACACTTCCCAGTGCACCGATGGTGCATGCAAGGACCCAATTATGTTCCTAAAGTTGCTAGGAGTCCAAATATACAAGTTACAAGTTCACGATGTGAAGAAATGGTAGGGAATTATTGTGATGCTCTCGGTGCTTTATTCGAAATTACAAATAAAATTATTTTGTATTATTTTATTGCATATTGCCAGGGACTATTCAGTTTTAGGGTTGGAGATACAAAAAGCAGTTAATGTTCATTAAGTGGTGAACAAAATATTCCCTGTATCCAAGTGGGAGCATGTATCTTTACTCCAAGTAGAAAGTCAAGATTCAACTTACATGAGTTTGATATACAATATGGCAGGTTTACATTAATATAAAATATCGTTTATATCAACAATAAAAAATGTTTTGATTAGAGACTCACAATTTTTTTTTTTTTTTTTCGGAAAGCATGTCATTACTGTAAGTAAGTACAGGTTACTTACCATCAGTAATCTTGCGGCCTTTGAACAGTTAAGACCCATCCCTAATTTTATTTTATTTAATTCTCCACATGAAATGACCAAATTATCCTTTATAGGTGGAAGTGTTGACCTGACCAATTACTGCAGAACTTGAATACACAAATGGATGACGAATTTGGTACAAAATTATTTTACATGCCTTGGTCCATTATTTTAATATGACACAAAACTAAAGGCAATGATATTTTAAGGTTTATATAGCCGACCATACTTTTCTGGTGAAGCTTGTTGCACATTTTATCAACTTCATGTATATACCAAAATCACCAATGCATTCCCTATGCAATTGTACTTGGATTATTACAAGTTTCACTTTTAGGGCACATTTTATGTAAGATTGGCTTGACTTGGACTATTTATTGGGACGGATTTGGATTGGAATTTGACTTGGGTCGAGTAATGGCCTAAAATAAGCCTACACAATGAAGGTATAGTCTCAATTTATTAAGTTGTTAATTAAACCCATGTTTTGGGCTTAAGTAGAAATTTTATAGGAAATTGGTTAGAATGATGAGAATCAATGCTCAACTGCAAGCTGATCAAAATTAAATATCGATTAAATATTGACAATATAACAATTACAACACTATAAAAACTTATCATTTTGGTAATAAGCCTTAAAAATGATTATTTTGGCCAATTTTCTAACTTTTAAGTCACTTTAACTCTGTGCTCAATAATGAGAGCTTGAAATCCAAAGTCGAGTCCGCTGCCTTTGGGATTTGAGCAATGACAGTTCAATCGTACTTGCGTCATTCGTTAATGATTATATGAACTTTATTTGTTTCTTCTGATCGGAAGAAGTGCACATTTCAAACTGCTTGAAACTCTCACCAAATTGAATACCTCGAGCTGAAGAAAGCTAGCACAAACATTGGCAGATTATGAATGGAAAGTATGTGCGGGTTTGGATCGATACATGGATTCCTTTCGTTCCATTGGGCTGACCATCGCCGATGGGGAACATACGAGTTAGCCGAAATACAAGGGTGAATTCTTTATTAAGTTCGGAGACAGATGGATGGAACATCAAATTTTCACAACTGGTCGTGTTGGCTGAGGATTATGATGCCCTGTTAGAAACTCCGATCGGCGATGCAGAGCTCAGTGACAAATTGGTGTGGCCTTTTGAAAAGAGGGGAATTTTTTCTGTCAAGTCAGGATACCATTGGACGGCCTCGAGGAGACCATCTCGTAGAAGCCAGGGTCCATCGTCCTCTACATCTATTCCCAGCTCTCTCTGGAAGGTTATATGGACCATACATACAACACCAAAGGTTCAATGCTTCATGTGGAAAACCCTTCACTTTGCCATTGCAACAATGACGAACTTATTCAAGAGGAGATCGGCATAATCCCCTATTTGCACATTGTGTTATTTACACGAGGAATCGGTGGAGCACTTATTCCTTCTATGCCCATGGGTTGAATTAATTTGGTTTGGGAGTGCTCTTAATTTAAAAATTAACCGTGCTCTGATCACCAACTGTGCAAAATGGCTAATTGACATTGCTATGATAAATGGGGGTTCTAAGTCAGAGGTTACAACAAGGCTCTCCTATATTGGCTTCCCATGTCGGCAAATCTGGAAGGCCCGTTGCAATGCGTTGTTTAATCATGTTCCGGTTAACCCAAGACAGGTAGTCATCTCAATCGCCAATATGGCTGGCACTTTCAATGAAGCTGATTGCCCAGTGCGCTGCACCTCTCGGCTCAGTTCCCCTGGTGCTGTTGAGGTCCATTGGTCTTCGCCTTGTCCTGAGTTTATCAAAATCAACGTTGATGCCAGTTGGAGGCCAAGTTTGCAGGCTGGCTTTGCAGGTGTGGTTGTGCAGGATATGGAAGGAAACTTTATGGCAGCTTGTTGATACTCCATCAAAGCTTCTAATGCAGCGGTGGCAGAAGCAAAGGCGCTTTTCCATGGATGCGAATTGGGTATCTCCCGGGGATGGAACTCGGTGATCATCAAATCTGATTCGATGGAATCCATTGCCAGCCTCAGGAATACTTCAACTCTTGGCAGTTGGGAAGCCTTCCCCATTCTTATGGAATGTAAAAGATTGGGGGATATTTTCCAAACTTGTCGCTAGTCTTGGGTTCCAAGATCGGCCAATCGTACGGTGGACTTCATTGCGTCGAGACAATGTAGGGAGATGTGTGATGTTATGTGGGTCGATCGACCTCCATTTTCCTTTGTTCATGTTCTTTGTAACGATGGTCTCCCATGCCCTCCCTATACACCCCGGTAGTGTGAGTGGTGACATTTTTAGCATTGAATGCGACGTCATTGCTCCTTGGACCACTCACACTACTTTCTGCTTTTGTTGGTTCTCAGCTATTTGCCTTGTTGTAGGCCCTTTGTATTTCTCTTTGGCCTCTTTGCCCTGGTTCTATGGATTCCAGTTTCCAAAAAAAAAAAAAAAAAAAAAAAAAACCATCGTCCAAAAAATGCTCCAACGCCATCCTTATCATGGAGGAGGAAAATAAAAGAGAGACTAGACCTAGTGACTTCTTCTGCAAATACTGGTTCATTGGTAAACAGGTACGTATATACTCGCCTCCTTAATTTGCTATCTGCAACTTCGCTTTTCATCTTTTATTCTTGCAGCCTACAGGAAAATAGCGCTTTTGTGGCAACATACATTCGTCACATAAATATAAAAATTCAGCACATTTGA